GGTCTTCAGTATGTGCGTGGCAATACACAACTATTTAAAGTTTATCTAAGATTTGAACACAATTCATATTAAATTTTTTTAAACATTCTTGAACGATCTTTTGTGACTTAACAAGATACGGTTTGTATAGGATTTCTATATCAATTAGTAATTCATTTGAATATAACGTACTCGTAATTCCTATTATATTCACCATTAAAACTCCCTATAAAGTTATCATTAATTTTCCTCTGCGGAAAGAGTTGATTTGCATACAAATTAATTTAAATTTTACCCGCACATATTGTTCACGTATCCTATTATTATTATCTCAACACGTTGCAACGGAGAACTCTCCGCCACAAAAGCGCAGCACAATTATATCTGCAACAGAAACCTGCTTCACGCCTAAGTCGTTCGGGTAACAATGGCGCGTGTCAGCAGCACGATAAGCCGCCTACTGTTCGTCACGTCTCCCTTTCGTGAGCTTCACCCGGTCAGATTTATAGACGCGAACGCCCCGCGCGTGATGTTCGGTGCGCGGGCGGCGGCGGCGGTGGTGGCCGCCGCAAACGGAACAACGCACCGGATACCTTAACGCGCCAAACAATCTCGCGCACGCCCTCGTAAAGAACGGCACTTCCCTTTCAGCTGCAAACAAGGTTAGGGTCATTAAACGGACGCTTGTTCCCTCCGCGCGTCCGCGTGCGCGTGGAGAGCAATGGAGAGAGAGAGAGAGAGAGAGAGAGAGAGAGAGAGAGAGAGAGGTTGCGAAACGCGATACTGGAAGGTGAGACGCCCCCGAGATGATCCACCGATCGCCGTCTTCGGGGGCGTAAACGAGGGTCGCGTCTCGTTGAAGATGAGCTGCGTGTGGGAGATCGGGTGTGGGTGCAGGATGAGGTATGCAATACCGAATGAATGCCTTGCACTTGTTGGATGTTTCCGTCTCTCCAATAGGGGCGTCTGGAGGTTTATGCAGTGAGATTTATAAGCCTTTCGTCGTCGTCAGTTTCAATTGACATGGCGAAGTTCGAGAAAAGACAATAACTCCTGGTTCGGTAATGATCTAAATAAATACAGAACATGTAAATTATTTCAATTAATGATAACACTGATTGAAAGATGTATAAATGGTGAGGATATTCCAGAAAATTGGAAGACTGGAGTAATAACAGTTGTAGTACACAAAAAGGGGCAAAAGGATTAATGTGGAAAATACAGAGGATTCATCGTACTGAATATAATTAGTAGATTATAGTATGTAAGGTATTGAAGTATTACGTAGAGGAAGATTATAAAGGAAACGAAGATGAAATGCCGGCTGGGTTGAGAGTTGGACGATCAACTACTCACCACATTGCTTTTTATTGAGCAATTAATGGAGACGTTAACAGCGTTTAGACAAGACGGTCATTTAATATGTATTGAGTTAGAAAAGGCATATAAGAGTGCACCTCTGAATAAATTACGGGAAGTTTTAGATGAGGTTATAAACAATAAGATGGTGCTGATGTTCGAATGAAACTGATTAAAAGATTCTATTAGAACCCGTTCTGATGAATATTGGCTTATGTCAAGGGTGTAGTCGTTTCCTATCCTACTTAAAATTTAATTAAACGCTTCTATACAGTTATAGAAGAAAACGTGTTCGAAAAGTTAATTACGTTCATTATGTTATGCATTCAGCATTCTATCAAATTCTGTCAGCCTTCATGCAGCTTGTTACGTGTATTTTGCGAATGTACATTCCCGCCTGAGATATGGTATAAAATTATTATGTACTCAGACCATTCGTCTGCGGATCCCCTGACCTAAACAAAACTTCCCGTGGCTCCCCTGGTAACAAGATTCAAATGTAATAGTTAATATAAGCCTACTATCGATTCAACACAAATGAGTAAGTGATATACTAAGCTATTGGTACAATGGATTTGCCAGGTTCAATTAATCCATAATTAATAAGTTAAATAAATCGTGTACTACAAATAACATATAGTATACTAGTGGAAAGTATTTTTGTAGATTATACCTTAGAAACTTTTTTTTCGAATTTTGTCTAGGTTTTAGGTATTTTATCCCAGTGTGGGACGCCCCTACCATATGGCCGCGGACGCCCCTGGAATCGCGGCGCACAGTTTGAAAAACCCCTGACTCAGGTGTTAAAGTACATAAAAGCGCGAGGAGAAAAGCAAGGAGTAAAAGATAGAGACCCAAATTTACAAGTTTTGGGGAAATTGAGGAATTATTTAAAAGAAAAGGGTCTCAATGGTGAAGACTAGAGAAAAGTGGACGAAGGCGATAATAGTGCATTAGATATTATTGCATCTTGATAAAATTATTGAAACAAAGTGAAGTACTTATACTGTAAAACTGTATGAATATAAATAATTATTAATAATATGGTTATTAAAATGACCGCTACTCTAACTCCACCGCCGCTGCTTTCGCGTGTGGGACAATGTGTCGAAATGCGATATTGAAAGGTGAAATGTACCTGAAACGAGCTGCCAGAAATTGCAGACTGGTGCAGAAACGAATTTGGGACTTTACTGGAAAGAAAAGGCACAAGAAATAATTAAAGACCTTAGGTTGTGCCCTCAGGCTGTGGCGCTTTGTTTCATCACTAAAACCAACGGCATTTCAATTGTTCATTGCAACCACGAAATTACGACTGAAATATAATTTAAATTATGACGAATCACTTATAATTTATAAAATGTCACTTACACCATTCTGACTTTCCCCCATTCACTTTGTTATTACTGGCACTCAATGGACTCCTTCTCCTTCCCTTCTCTCTTGAGAAAACACGCCAAGCACAGAAGCGAGGTTGCCTGGTGACGTGTGGCTCTCACCGAGTGGTTCCATAACGGAGTGTCTTTTAGTCCATTTTTGGAGGACGGATCGGCCGTGAAAAGTCTTAATATATTTTCATAGCGTTTTGAAATACTCAGTATTATGTAATAGTGAAGTAATCGGAATTAAAATTTCCTTCGAGCCGGATTTGAACCAGCGACCTATGGATGTCTGTTACTTTGCCAACTACAGTCCACCGCTCTACCAACTGAGCTATCGAAGGATGCAGAATGTAGGGGACAGTTTATGATGCAGTTTTAAAGTAAATTATAACTATTAAGAATTATTATTATTATTATTATTATTATTATTATTATTATTATTATTATTATTATTGTTGAACATATTGTAAAAATTTATTATTAATTATGATTTTATATTATAAACAATTATAGCATATTATTATTATTATTATTATTATTATTATTAGTGGCGAGGTACAGGCCTGATCTTTGGCCTTACAAAATTATGTATTAACATTATTTTAAATATTGTAAGAGAAACAAAGAAGACCTAAATGTCCGTTTTGCTTCAGTGAAGCGCAAATTGAACCATTGTACCAGAAAAGTACAATGAGGATGGCGGCTAAAGACAGAGATCTTAGACAAATTTGAAAAACTAAAACGAAACACTATAAGCGAAATACACAATTATCATACACTAAAGAAAAAATAACGTGAATATACAGTGAACATAAGCATTACAGTAATAATAGTAACATATTAGCAGCACATAGTAGAACATAGCAGTAATAGTAACATCGAACTGGTAATTACAAGAACAAAATGAATTCAGAATAGTTTTAATGCAGAACTACATTACAATGGTAATTATCTAAGAACTACTTTAGATTTCATGAAACTTTATCAGCAAATCTCGCTTACTTCGAAAGCGCAAAGATATACCGCGTATTGTACTCGCTTGGGTACTTGCACACAATTAAGACTACCTGATTAAAAAACGTACCGTGTCAATGCAGCCGGATAATGGCAGCATTATTGACGGGATGATCAGAATACGTTGACCCGTATTTAGATGACATTGTCATAGACAGCAATACGTGGAAGAAACGCCTCATGCACTTTGAAAAGGTGTTCAAAATCTTGCAAAACGCTAAGTTACACGTACAGCCGCGCAAACGTTAATATGCTCGAATAAACCTTCAGTATCTAGGCTGTAAGGTAGTAAGCGGCACGATGTGCCCGGAGGAGGCGAAAGTGCCTATACCACGGACTATCCTACACCGTAGAATATACCACACCTCGTACGAAGGAGCAGGTGCTTGCTTTCCTAGGGTTGACGGGGTTCTATACATGCGATATATCAGTTTATGAGGGGATATCAGCTCCGTCAACAGATTTATTGCGATGTAGATAACGGCAGGATAAAGTGGCATGGACGCTGGATAGTAATGTGTCATTTGAAAAATTGAAAGCTGCTCTTCGCTATGAACCCGTCTTCCACGCCCCACGCTACATCTAAGGAGATACATCTTAGGAGAAACCTGTGTTGCACCGAAGTCGAAAATTCACCTCTGCTGAATTGTACAACGTTGCACGACGGAATTAAATAAATGTCTTTTTGCCTGCCTATTCCAGGTAAAATAAACGCCAGAACGTCCAAGCCTCTAATCATAACAAAAGAATGAATGAAAAGCAAAAAGTCCGCCATCAAACGAAAAAAATTGAACATAAATAAAGTTGAATTTCTAGCAATTCGTCCAGATTTTTCAAGAAAATATACGAAATATTATATCATCATTGAATTGCATTTGCACTGCCTGTTGTTTTATGGCTGTGCTTATATTTATCTGAATATTGCCAATTCAGTGTTAACAGTACTTTTTTTTAGATATATGGAAAATCTATTTTACACAAATTAATAAATCATTTTAATGATGTAGAGTTTTATGTTCCCAAAAAGCATGTAAATTACATCAGGAAGCGGCTTCGGCTGGGTAAACATAATATTTCCCACTGTGTCAGCTTCTTAACGGGACAATAGTCGCCTAATTTGTAATCATACCTCTTAAAAGACAGGATTCGACAGAAATAATAATATTTCTAGAAATACATTTATACTTACTGACTGCCTCGATGACGTCAGCCAGCAGAACTCCGTCTGCCAAATCAGCCTGCAGGTCCGACACACGTCGCCGACACCGCGCCTTGTCCAGGTAGTGGTTGGCCCAATCCGCATACACCTGCAGGAAAACAAATTAAATGAAACCACTTACGTCGAAAACGTAATTTTTTTCAATGACAGAAATAAAAAAAGGTGTATCTGCAACTACCAAATATCAGAGTCAGATAGTATTAGTGTGCGATGCACTGAACTTTTCTCTTGTATGTCAGTGTTCGAAACCCATCTCTTGAAGAAACTGCACAGTAAAATTGCAAGTAGTTTTTAATAAATTTTAAATAACACAGTTATTTCTAATGTAGTACAATTTTAATGGACATTACACGAAGGTATGCAATTAATTATTGCGCAATTATGACCAGAAAGATGAAACCTATTTTCGCATTCTCTATGTTTGGATGTTTTGAAAAATGAATATTTGCTATCATATTTTAAAGAAACATACTGATTTACACACTATTTAATGTGTGTCTAACAATGAACAACAAGATGTTTTCCTGTCTTATTTGGATATGGATAATGTAAAAGCGAGACAGAAACATACAAATCAAAACAGTCATTGCGTCTATGTTTCTGAGTGAATGAATCGTCACACTAGGCACCCACGGACAAGTCTCGCTTGGCAGGCCCTCCTCGTCTGATGAGCCTGCTTTGCGATGGTTGTAATAATAGAATTCGAATATCCGCGCTTCCTTATGCTTTGTTGCCTTATGCCTTATGCCTTATGCTTTGTTCACTCAACAGCGAGCATTGAGGCGGCGACAGATTTACAACACGCGCAAGGTATGCTCTGCATCGAGAGTAGCCACGTCAAGCGCGTGACGGTTCCTAGCGTAACAGACCGTGAGGCAGTAATAAACTAGTGAATTTACAACAGCACATTGCTTTTCTCACAATATGTAATGGTTAAACAATTATAACGAGTTTACCTATAGAAGTAACGCAACAAAAAAGTCATGGGAACCTCTAGAAACGAGAAGAACAAAGGCGAGGCTTTGCGCTCTTTATAATCTACGTAGGTCAACCAGCTTGAGATGAAATTCAGATTAGATTAGGAAAAACCAAATTTATTTCGCCGAAAGCCGAGCACACCCACAAATTCGAGCAAGGAAACAAAAGTGCAGATTTGGGAAGTTTTCCTTTTGTGGTAACAGAACAATTAGAGATTGGAAACAGTTTACCTGCAGCAGGTTTCAAAGGCTTTGCCTCTTCAGTGTCCGAAGTTTTAGAAACAAATTAAACAAGATGATTAAATAAGTATGTGCTGTGTAGTGCGTTGAAGTGGCTGTGAAGTGCTGGTCAGTGTGCATTCAAAGGTAATTCAAAGCAAAAAATGTAGTGTAAGTGAAGTGAAGTGAAGTGAAGTGAAGTGCGGGTGAACGTGATCAATGCCACTTTTCAATGCTGTGAATCTTTTCGTCTTGTACGAATTGTACGGTATTATCTATTATTATTATTATTATTATTATTATTATGATTGATTGATTATTATTATTATTAACATTCAGTATTAACATGATTATCTATTATTATTATATTATTATTATTATTAATGTAAGTGGTATGTAATTATTGCCATTAACTGCCACCGGGTCATACCCAATTGCAGTTCTAATAAATGTAATGTAATATAACACTACTTGCACCAGCAAATAGTGTTTCCAACCCCCAAAAAACAACAAAAAGGGTTTTTTCACGCTGGGATCCGAATTCAGATACTTAGATGTACGAGCAATGAAGACGGCTCCTTCCGAGAGAAAAAATCAAAAAAACTAAGAGTATTTTTTGAGAAAATGTTGAGGTTAAGTACCCCATAAGCCAAAATATATTTTTAAAATTCACAGGGCCCCGACATCGTCCTGATAGATCCAATTTTGGAGAATGACAATTTTGGATAAAAATTAATGGTTTAGGCGCTAACTTTGACTACAGACGGACAGATTGCTATAAACCAATTTTTCGGTATCAAGGACCCACAAAACGTGGATTCTTTCCACACAATGTATTAAAAGAGAGTAATTTACTTTGCACTGGAACAAGATTTATTCGCCTTTTCGCCAATAGATCCCCACATAGCATGTTTTTCTGAAGAAAAATACTTTCCACAGTAGAATTATAATACTTTTCGCCATGCTACGTAAGTACATAGTAGGCGAGAAAGTAAAATTGTATGACAGTTAACTCCCTGAAAGGTGTTGAGACAATAGCCGGCGTTAAATAGGACGAAAACGCATTGCTGCATTGCTGTAATTAATAAAAGTTCACCATACTTGTTTCCGTGTTCCAACACCTGCAACCACGTCAAAATGTTTCAAGTTGCTAACGAGATCATACGTGTTTTTCTTGCAGCCTCCCAACCTTCTGCTTTCCTATCTACATTGTGTGCAAGATCCAAGCATCGGTGAATATAACTTCGGGGATCCTTTTGAAAAATGGGGATCCTCTGCTGGTGAGGTCCCCTCGGTAGATCGTGCTTGCTTCTGTTGAAGGTGTGGTCCCTCTTCAACAGCGTCCCCCTCCGGTCTCCTCACAGAAAGCTATGCTCTTGTAGGCAAGCCAGCCTTGAAAGCCTGAAACGTGCCGTTTGTAAAAGTGCCGCTATCCACTGAGCGAAGACTGAAGATAATTCCAGCGACGAAAAATTCACAATCGCTCTGATTGAAGCTGCCCTGTACAAATAATGAAATTGGTACAGTTTTACAGCCGGAGTTTTACAGCCGCAGTTTTTGCCGGAGGGGGGGGGCGTCAGGGCTATTTTAAAGGAATGCTTAAATTGCGAGTATCTGATCTGAAGCATGGCAAATCAATGCAAGGACATTTCATATTAATCCCTGTGAACCATCGCATTTTTTAAATTCTTATTAGAATTAATAGTATCAAAGTATTTTAACGTAACGTCATATTACAAGTGAATTTATTTAATGTTTAAAAATAAACTTTTTTTAAAATACTTGGGGAGGTATTATGTTCACGATTTTGCAACAGTTTAATATTATTTGTTAGGCTTATTTATAATTTACTTCCACGAAAAGAGATTCGAGCACATATAGGTCACTCACATGTAAGTCACACAGCCAGACGGCGCATTTGCCTGGAACGGTATAAGCAGGCTTGTGAAAGGTGTGTACAATGAAAACCAGGTTGACAAAAATGAACGGTGAATGATATCCAGCGGACTAGAAGTTAATCAATTGTTTTAAGATACGGTTTCTCCTTTCTCTCACGAAAGGAAATAGTACGTGTACGTAAAAAAGACTGGAAGTAAGAATAAACATTGACATATGCTCTAGAAATGTGCAGTCTTTTCTTTAACATTCTAAATAATAACATTTCATATCAAATTATTTTGTGTCTTAAGTACTGGTGGATAAAGCATTATCTATCTTTTAAATTCAAACTAGTGAAAGCAAACCATCTTCCTCTATAGCGTAACGAAATGACCCGCAAAACTGTTATCCGGACCCCCTTTACAGAAGTATATAGCAAACACAAGTAGTGTTAGTACCTTCAATATTAAAATTTCCCTTAACCTAAAAAAAAATTTAAACCTAAATTAATTTTCCCTAAAATTGCCCAACGGCTTGAACTTCGCAACTAAGATGATTTTAAAATAATAGTATAGTATTATATGCATAATAATTATTAATTACTGTGTGTCATTGCATGTTCTGTGCATTCAAGTTGAAAGCAAATATAACAGATTTCATAACACTTCACAGTATTTTCAGTGTTGTAATTTGAGTACATAAAGTATTCAAATGTTTGTAACGTAAATTCTGAACTAGTTTTTGCTTGCCTCTGACAATCTGTTATAATAATAATAATAATAATAATAATAATAATAATAATAATAATAATACTTAAAATATTTTACTTAAATTTCCAAGTTAATTGAAAACTGACACACTTAACACTCATCCTTCGATAGCTCAGTTGGTAGAGCGGTGGACTGTAGTTGGCAAAGTAGCAGACATCCATAGGTCGCTGGTTCAAATCCGGCTCGAAGGAAATTTTAATTCTGATTAATGAATTGTTTCAAAATACAGAGGGTATAATAATTGAATTCAAATGTAAAACAACTGCACCCAATCGATCCGACCTCCATAAAATGACGAAGACTTACGCATCAGCACCCGGCGTCGAATATCACCAGGCGACTGCACCGCTTTGCATGCAGTTTGCTCAAATGGAAAGGGAAGGAAAATAGAAGAAAAAATATTTTTTCAGTGTTGACAGTTAGCACGAGTGTGTAGTACGCAAAATAATCAAAATGTCGGTAAAGTACTCTGAACTAGATCTCTCCTTCCCTCTCTGTTAACACTGACAAGAACGTGAAGTTCATAAAACATAAAATAATTTTACATATTAAAAATAAATAATAAATATATATAAAACAAAAAATGTGTTAAAATTAGTTTATTAATCATATAATTAGACTGGATAACGGGAAACACAGATCAAAAACTCATTTTCAAAGCCACTTGTTTTCTAATTTTACGCCTCAATGTAATCTCAAAACACTTCATCTCGTGCTCCCAAATATTGTGTTAAAAACTGCATTCTACTATGTGAAACGGTATCTTTAAACGTTCAATTATAGCAAATTCAAAGGCCGATTTTAAAGACTTTCTCTTCCTGAAAAATTGGGTTTCGCGGATATATGTCACTTTTGAAACAAAATCTTCAATCAGGAAAGTCAATAACCTCAAAAATTTATTTAATACCCCCCTCTCATTATCCTTCCCTACATCCTTTCCTACTCACCTATACCTTCTGTAGACTTTCATCGTTTAGAACAGAAGTTCGTGAAGAAAAAAGTAAAGATGTAGTAAGGAAAAGGAGTGTTCATTTGATTACCAAAGCGGCTAACTGAGGTTTAAAGCTCAACCAATATGGCGCTAAATTACTTCGAGAATTTTAACACGTATAGAAAAGTTTACGTAGAACACAATGCGTTTACATCGTAAGGTTACATAGTAATTGTAACTAGATAGCAATAAATAATGTAACATTTTTCTTTCACTTAATTGTTATTCATTTCTTGATAGTTTTAACACTAAA